GAGCGAGATGCTAACGGTCTAATCAGATTCAATGATCTATGCTAAGCTAAGCTAAAAGTGCTACCGCCAGACCCGGAGATCGGCTGAATGGATTCGAAAACGGTAAAACTCAACTGTTTAACTCTAGGGGAGTTGGAAAATGAGCCTATTTTCAAAAATAGTGGAGTGTTCCTTTAAGAACCATTAAGTTATGCACCTTTTGCCTCTCTATTCTCTATTTCTTTCTGTGTGTGTGTCTTTCTTGCTCATTTCAAATGCACTCTTTAAAAAATAATTTAAAACATAAAGATTAGGCTTTGTTAGGTAATTACGTAATTTAGGTAGGCTATATTTTGTTAACCCTGCAATAGCCTTTTGAATAAAGTTTTTTTTTTAATTCTCACAAGAGAAAAAAAGTTTTAAAAAAACTCTTTCTTAGAATTAGAGTTTGTATCGCTGAATGTCAAGTTATAAACTCACAATTGCCAGAAGAAGAAAAAACTGAATTGCAAAATAAAAAGTCGCATTTACTTATTTTATTTTTTATTCCATGGTGGGGACATTTTTTTTTTACAGATTTGTGAGATATAAACTCAGAATTGCAAGAAAAAAGTCATAACTGTGAGATAAAAAGTTGCAGTTACCTTTTTTTAAAATCACATGACAGAAACAAGTTCAATTCAAGTAAAAATTAGACCAACCAATAATAGCCTAGTCATTGATTCAAACAATGCCACTTATATGAAATTACAAAACATGCAATTTTATTGCATTTAGCATGATATGTCTTTACTTTATGCTACTATATTATTAATTAATCCTTTAATGTCAACTTGCGTGATTCAGTTATACGTGCAGCCTGGTGTGTCATGTGTACAGTCATAACGTATGCTTTGTTGCTTCCTCTCCTAAAGCATGAGGAAAAACAGGAAGAGGGGTGAACTGTCTCATAATTGTGATTGTAAACATGCAGCTGCAGAGAAAATGACGGAAGACAGCCATGATACCACCTTAGATACCAAAGACTCAAGAGCCAAACAGGTTTTGTTTTGTTCTTGTCTTATTGAACCAATGACTTCAGAATGAAGAGCAGAAAGTGTAAAGACAATTTCATACTTTTAGTTTAACTCTTTTTTTATTGATGCTATTCAATCAGAGAGATACACAAATTAAAAAGACAATGGAACAGCAATTGTATTAACAAAGATCAAAAGTAAATGAGTCAAAAACGTCCTTACTCAAGGACAAAAAAAGCAGCAGTAATTATAACAATGCTGCACCTAAGTACATAAACACTTCCAACAATATATATATATATTTCCCCTCTGTGCTCTCCATTTATTAGTAAATCAGGGGCAAGGGAAAGAAACCGTAAAGGCCAGGTATAGAGAAAATGTTTTTCTTATTTTCTTACTTCTTCCTTTATTTATGACAAGAAGGGTTGCCAAGTAGTGTGAAATTTTTCTGTAATACCAAGTATTGTAAATCTGATATTTTCTGTTTGATTAAGCTGCATCAGGTAGGGCATCCAATGAAAGTAGCTTGGTGGGGAAGGATTTTTCCAGTTCAGTAATATAAGCCTTTTAGCAATTATCAAGCAGAAGCCGAGCGCATTTGACTTTGAAGGTGACAAGGGAACTTTTGGGGGGTTGAGTCCAAATAATGCTACTAGAGGGCATAGTTCAATATCTAAAATAAAACATTCAGAAATTGACTTGAAAAGTGATGCCCAGAAAGAGGTCAATGCTGGGCAAAGCCAAAAAGTATGATAAAAGATAGCTGGAGCCTGTCGACACCAATCACAAGTTGGATCAAAACCAGGGTTCATTTTAGACAATTTGGTCTTTGTCCAATACACTCTATGTTACATCTTAAACTGAATAAGAGAATGACGAGTACAAATAGAGGAGGTATGTACACGACAAAGGGTTTTGGACCATTCCTCGTCTGTGAAAACATGGTTAAAATTAAGATCTGATTCCCAGTTCTGCTTGATTTTCTTTCTAATACAATATTGCCTTCTTGGGTTTGGATTTCGGTGATACATTTTTTTGCAGGTTTAAGTTTAAGCTTTACCTGGTTTATCACCAAACTTATAAAAATGGTGTCGTGATTTAAGCAGAAGCTGGGTGGTGGAAAGAAGGTTATATTCAGATTGCAAAAAACACTTCAATTATATAATAATGGAGTTGTGTGTTACGCGTAAATTTGGTTTAGTTTACCAATTTGTTCAGAAAGTTCAAAAAGCCTTTTACAACTTCTTAATATAAGAAGAACGAGAAATTATTTCTCCACATAAATAAGCTTTGAATGTTTCCTAAAGTAAAGATGCAGAAATCCCTTCTGTAGAATTAAAGAAACATGGACATCTTTTTTCAGATTTTTTCAGAGCAACTTCTACCTACATCTAGTCACCACGAGGCATATAAGTCTGCACTGACAATTCATACTTTTTATTGATTGATTGATTTAGCATACAAAGATATCATAATTGTTTTTTTTTTTCAAATGAAGAATTTTTATTTAGTATAACTTATTAGATTACAGTTAAATGAACAGTGCTTTCTCACACAAAGCTGCTTTCCCAGAAGTGACAACTTCCTATGTCCATAAAGTTCAAATGTCCATTTACTGGACGTCCCAGAGAATTAATTCCATGTAAAGCTATTAATGACATTTATTGTAACCAGGTTTCTGGGAATTTAAAAGCTCTCTGAATCTTGAAAAAAACAAAAGTGTACTTTCAGTAGGTCAGCCACTTTTCCAAATTGTGGTAAAAATGCTGAGCAACACATTCGGTGGCACCTTGACAGCAGCACTAATCACGAGTCAGACTGAAGCAGGAAAATCTCTGTTGATTCAGGCTGTTGTTCCTCAAGAGGGTCAGGGTAAAAACTTTGAAAAATGTTGTTATACACAGGAAGGTTCTTTGGGGAACCAAAATTGGTTATTCTATGGCATTGCTGTGAAAAAACTTCAAGATCAATTTTAAGAGTGTGTTTAAAAGATTATGTACATTACAACAATGATTTATAAACATTTCTAAATATATGTTAAAATTGTCTCATGTAAACTGACAAAACTACCTACAGTGCCTTGCGAATGTATTCATACCCCTTCATTTTTTTCACATTTTGTTTGGTTGCTGCCTCATGTTAAACTGCTTTAAATTAGTTTTTTCCACAACAATCTAAACTCCATACACCTTAATTGTCAAGCAAAAAAATCGAATCTTCCTAGAGATGGCCTCCTGGCCAAACTGAGCAATTGATGGAGAAGGGCTTTGGTTAGCATGGTGACCAAGAACCTGATGGCCACTCTAGTTGAGCTCCATGATTATATGTGGAGATAGGAGAAATCTAGAAGGACAAACATCGCTGAAACACTCCACCAATCCAGTCTTTATGGCGGTGTGTCTGTTAAGGTGCTTCAGCTAAATAATTAGTTAAGGGTATGAATACTTATGCAATGTACTTATTTCAGTTTTTTATTTTTAATAAATGTATGAAGTTGTGACAATTCTGTTTTTGCTTTGTCAGTATGGTGTATGGAGTGTAGATTGATGTGGAAAAAAAGTAATTTAAAGAAGTTTATCATAAGGCAGCAACAAAACAAATGTAAAAAAAAATGAATACTTTCGCAAGGCACTGTATATCAACAATCTAAAAACAAATGCACAGGCTCGGTTCTTAATATCAGCTTTTATCCCAACGTCCTTGTTGTTTTGGTGATTGTGTCGCCAACATAGTTCTGTGAACTGACATTTTGCCTTTTTTTTAAAAACAGGATGCCAGTAATTGCCGATGAGAGACAGATGCTGTTATTGGCTGATTCATGTTTTCTTACTTTGTGTTTACTGAAAGTAAATGTAGCATGATGATCACAAGATAGACCCCACCAAACCGCTAACGTTTACTACTTAGAACTATTTATATTGCTCATTGCAGTGGGAACATTTACCCCTTAGAAACCCGAAATGCAATCGCTGAAGTCTCTTTATTTAGTGTTGCATCTGTGCAAAACATAAAAACTGCTACCCTTATGACCTAAATTGATCAGAAGGAATCTGATAAGAAAATTACCACAGGGAAGCAAAATTGGGTTTTTATTATAACGGAGTAATAGAAACGGACAGACCAGACCAGAATGCATTAGAAACAAGTATGCAAAAGATATGAGCATTAGCAGGGCAAACAGTTTTTCAAAACTCACGTTTGTGCTACAGAAACTTACACTGAAATTAATTTAACTATTTTTTTTTTTACCAAAACTTCAAATGTAACTAACAAACTTTGAATGTTAGTTTGATAAAGCCTTGTTTTAAACTTTTTTAAAAAGTGGTAAGTTTGAAAGTTTAAAGGCAAAGATAGACGGATGGATGGATGGATAAATGGATAGATAGCCACCTATAGAAAACTGTATCTAAT